AAAAATATTTTTAGACCCTCCTATAACTTGGGTTTAAAAATATTTTCACGGCCAGTCCTACCCCGCTGGCAGGCATATAAAGTGCACACAGCTTGCTGGTGCTGCTGTGACGCAGTCCACCACGGCACTCTGTGTCCTAGGAGCTTGGGGCTGACGCCAGGGGCAGTGGGAAGGCCCAGCAGCGCTGGGAGAGGGGACGGCGTGACCAGACTTGCATTTAGAAAAGATCCTTTTGGCCCTGTGGGGAGAAGACACGGAGGCAGAGACCCGACCAGAAGGCTGTGCAGCGGTCCGGGAGGAGTGGGAGGCAGAGCGCAGACAGCGAGAGGCACAGGGTTCCCACAGGAGGGGCCAGGACCTGCTGCAGCACTGGTGGGGGGAGCAAAGCAGGACCCGGTGGTCTGGGTTGACCTGGTCAATCGTGGTGCCACTGCAAGAATGGTTACAAGAGGAACAGGTTTAGGGTGGCGAATTAACATGCCTTGCTTTAAGGAAATGTGATTATTACAATCTGAATGTGTCATTTACTACCCTGTCTTTGAGACCACCTGTAACCTGGATGTGAATTTCACCAACATCCAGCAGACCACTAAACTGAGATGATGATGCTGACGATGAAGTTTCAGCAAGAGCTGAAATGTACCGTGTACCTGCTGTGTACAGGCACTGGCTGGTCTATGCACCTCTAGGTGTATCTCACGGAACCTCCATGACAACCACATTTGGAGGTCCTTACTTCATCCTCCCCATTTCACAGATGCGTACAGACAGGTGTAGTAACTTTCCCACCGTCACAAAGCCAAGAGAGAGCTGACCCCACAAGACGCCGCCTAGTGGAAAAGTCATCACGCAAGAGATTAAGTTAAGCCCCCAAGCTTAAGGTCCTCCTCATCCAGCCAGCAAGGTGAGTGAAAAGATTCATAAACTCCTGTCTCGAGAGCCCCACAGCTGCGTACCAGTCTTGTCTGAAAACATCTCCAGTCGCCTCCTTTGGGGGCATCTGTTCAGTTAAAAGAATTCACCCAGTTGGACAAGTCACACATCTGGAAGATGACGAGGGAAGGGCAGCAGGGCCATGCTCTCTCCCTAAGCTTCGAGCCCTGCCTGGAGTAACCACAAACACAGCAGTAGGAAAGAAGGGGGAGGGCTGCAGGGAGAGCCAGACTAAAAACGAGCTACCCACCTTCACAAATGGCCTGAAAGCTTGACAGTGAAGAGAACTTGCTAGAGGTCAAATCAAACAGGCCTGCTGCTCACAAGTGTGTCCTGAGACCCCATGGGCCGTGGCCATCCCCAAACACAGCGGGCACACATTCCACCTTGTTGACGGGACCCCCCTGCAGGCCTTCACCAGAGGCCCCGCCCAAACGCCACCCCACCCCATTCGAACACCAATCAAAACCCCAAATCAATCTCACTTTTCTGCTTTCCATATACAATTGTACACATTTTGGGCGCTTCCTCTTTCTACATTTCTCCTCTTGACCTTTTAAGCCGTCACCAGAAATACAGTCACTAAACCAACAAACAAGTCAGACAGTTCCTCAGTCAAACTCTGAGGGGACCCTGGAGAGCAAGGCTGGTCGCCTACCCCTTCCAGGACCCACAAGTCGCCGAGCTGCTCCTGCTGTGAATGGCATCGGTGGTCCACCCTTCGGCCTCGGCCATGATGACCAGCCCTGACCAGGAGCACCTAACTCAGCTGGCCCATCAAGAAGACTCAAAAAAAGATCCCTGGAGATGCTGTCCTGGGGGAACTTCTCAGCCGAGGAGGAAGGCAAGGGTAGTAAACAGCAATGGAGACATCTGCTGACGTCACACGTCAAAAGCCAGCAGCCACTGGTGAGCACAGGCGGTGGAGGGCTGAGGGAGCCGGCCTGGTGTCAGGCCTGACCAACCAGGCCGCGCAGGAGAATGCTAGCTGGGCCCTCCCATGGCCAGGCCCTGACCACACTCGGCACCCACACCAGGCCAAGCTTTGGAGGGGAGCGAAGCCTGAGCCTGCCAGCTACTGTCTTGTGGCCCCTGAGCCCTAACGCCAAATCACAAGTAAATGGCCAGTCAAGCACCTGCATCACAGGACCCTCTGACAATTCCCACCACACTTAAGCGGTGGGCGTGAACCAACTAAAGGTACGTTCAAAATTCCACTGACGATGACAGGCACTAAAGACTGGGGAAGTCTTCCATACAGAGACACAGAAAACGCAGAGCGGCAAGAAAGTCCCTCAGCCCAAGAGCTCACAACGACCCCCGGTGAGGAGGACGAACACAGAAAAGGGCCAGGGCATCACTGTTCTGACAGAGACCTGAGTAAAACTCACTTAACTTTTCTCATGTTGTCTATATGAAAAACAGCCACGCGCGCACACATAAAGCTAAACGAGGGCTGCCGCTCAGGCCTCCTGCCGGGGACAGGGAGCACCACGCCTGAGACACGTGCGTGGGACAGGGAGGCGGAACTACGCCAGCGAGCACAGTCGGAGCAGCCCGCGCTGCAGAGCCCGTGGGACCAGGATGCTCTTGGTTCAGGATCCCTGGGTTGTCCTGCCCTAGACACGCCCTCATGACGCTCCTCCACACGCAGTCAACGCTGAGGCACCTGCTGTCCACAGACCTGCATCCCCACGTGGAGGGTTCGGCTTCCATCCCTCCTCTTTGTAGCGGGCGCTCACTATCTGCCTATTTATTCAGCGCCACCTTCCTTTTCCCTTTCCATGAACCCCAATCTTCCTTTGAAGGATACTCTCCCCCACTGGAGAATGGAGATGCTATCTGGGAGGGGCACCCCACTGCCCCTCTGAGGGGAGGTGTCAGCTTAGCGGCACAGGCTCAGGCCTTACACACGGTCATGCTGGTGTGGCAGCCACCTCCAACACAGGGAGCCAACCAGACAGCAAAGCTGGCCAGAGGAAGGCGAGGCAAAGAGGCATCAAGAAAAGGCACAGGTTGGGGGTCTGGCCCCGTGGACAAGTGGTTAAAGTTCCATGCACTCCACTTCGGTGGACCGGGCTCACAGGTTCGGACCCTAGGCACAGACCCGCTCCACTCACTAACCACGCAGTGGTGGTGTCCCACATACAAAATAGAAGAAAACTGGCAATGGATGTAAACTGCGGACTGTGGGTGACCGTGATGTGTCACGGAGGTTCATCAGCTGGGACAAACGTGCCACCCCAGGGGTTGACAATGGGAGACGCTGTCATGTGTGGGGCAGGGGGACAGGAGAACTCTCTGCACCTTCCTTTCAATTTTTCTGGTAACCTAAAACTGCTCTAAAAAGCTGAAGTCTTTAAAAGAAAAATGGCTGGAGCCTGGATCAAACCATATCTGAAGCTGGCACTGCCACCAGACTTTCTATTTATCTGAGTCAACCCCTGTACTGTTTAAGCCAGGCGGCCTGGATTTTCTGTGACTTCCAACGTGATGTACCCTGACTGCACACGCTCTCAGGACAAGCAGAATGTGATGGACTCCATACCCCGTCAGTACTAAGAAACGATGACCCCGATGTCGGAGATCCTCCACTCACAAAACTACCACGGACAACCACGAGTGGGACGGTGTTTCATCACACACAGGACTCCTGAACTCCAGGCTCTGCCAGCCACCAGCAGCTCCACAACAGTTAAAACCACAACTTGCCACAGTCCTCACAGCTGCACGCTATGAGACGGGCACAGCCAACAGATTCTATTAATTTGACAGCAAAGCTTACTTATTACAAATAGAACAAACCAAAGAAGGAAAAGGCAAAGTTGCCACTTACGACCAAGAACTGAAAAGTGTGCAGACTGGGCTGGCTGGGGGAGGAGTGGCACTCAGGAACTTTTAAAATTAGAAATCAGAATTGAGCTCAAGGTTTTCCCCCCGCAACCCGGGCCTCAAACACAATGCCATCTTAAAACTGTTCTATTCAACCACAAAAACTTCCAGGTGAGGTTTAAAACTGTGTCGGTTACTAGCCTTACTTAACAGGACAACTTTATGGCATATTCTGTCCTCAAAACCTCGCAAGATCGACAGCGCTTAGCTAAAGACAATGAACAAAAGGCAAAGAAATCATCTCAAACAGTGTCTCTCGAATCACATCACTTAAAGGATGGTTAAGTCTTAGAAGCGTTTAATCCTGTGTTTATTAGCAAGCAGTCAATTTCTCTGCCACAGGAAGCTTGGAGAAACAGTCCAGGTTTTTAACAGCTCCACGGGAGACCCCCGGCGCTGGACTGTCTTTTCAGACTCTTGATTGAACCAGTGGAGCCACAGGCAGGTGCGTCGAGGACCAGGACGGCTCCAGGGCAAGGAGTGAGAGACAGCGGTGCCCTGCTAACACCTGCAAAGGCCACCAAGGCCAAGCGGCCAAGGTGCCCGTGTGCCTGCACGCCGAGGCAGTGACCCTAACTTCAGGAAGCCCAGTCGCTGGGACCCACTGCACAGCAGCGCTGACTCATGTGGTGGGCAGGCAAGGGTCCAACCCTGGAACTGTGGCCACAGCCAGAGGAGTTCCCAAAGTGCTCGAGCTGCCGCACGGCAGCCGCCCCACCACCACTTCCCAACCTCGAGGAAGAATCTTAGAAGATCGTTATAAAAAGCAGTGATTCCAGAATGCATTTAAACGTCCACTCCTCCCTTTATTAAGCCACAAGGATTATGCCTACCAGGTAAATCGTTTGTGCGTGAGGATACATATTCGACTGCTAAAGGGTAAGTTTAAATGTCATGATGCCGTCTAAGAACTCTACTGCTCCTAATGACTTACAAAGCCATATATTTCAGTCTGTTCTGCACAGAAGTATCCTCAACATAAAAACATTAAAAACATCTAATGACAAAGGTGAAGCTATCATCAGTAAGAACGAAATGCACGCCTCACCCCCGGCAGCGGGCGTATGCCCACTCTGGGCTGCCAAGACAAGACCACGCCTCAGCAACACCTCTCCCGCGCGAGTTCTCCGGGTCTCAGAGGTGAGCACAGAAGCGGACGCCCGTGTCTCACTCACCTGAATTCTCTGCCTTCGCTGTACCGTCTACTTGCGGAGGCCCGCGGGGCAGCCGTCTCCAGCAGCAGCTTCTGCGTGAGCCTGCCAGGGGGACCAGGGTCTCTGCCATCGTCTTCATCTACATCTTGGTCACATTTCCACTCCTCGTCTTCATTCAAAGTGGGCAGGTATCCAGGTATGCCCTTCCCTGTCCCTGACCCAGAGCTCTGGTCGCTACAGAGCTTCGGGCTCTCTGAGCCTGTCCTCGTGTACTCCAAATAAATATCGGACTTGAGGAAGGACGGGTAGGTGTTCTCCTCCATGGTGGACTGGATTTCCGTCTGGGCCTGGTCGAACATGGCAGGATCGATCAGCTGCTTCATGATGCAGTCCTTTATGAAGCTCTTGGTGGCTGGCTTGGTTTGCCTGGACACGATGCCATTGTTATCAAGGATGTACTTTCGGTAAATAGCTTTGGCCAGCTTCAGCCTCTTTTCCTCATTCGAGTCACAGGGCTCCAGCTTCCTGAAGCCGCTGCAGGCAAACCAGAAGTCCAGCAGGTCAGCACAGTCCTCCTGCTTCAGGAAAGTCCTAAACAGGTTTATCCCATCTTGATCGTCTAGCAAGGAGTGCAGTGACTCGGCCCACTTCAAGTACGGGGGGGTGGGGGAGGCGCTGCCCTCGGGCTCGTACCCCAGGTCCAGATCCGAGCGCCTCGGAGTGGCTGTTGATGTCTCACCTTTGATCCCGGGGCCTTTCCCGGAGCAGAAGCTGTGGCTGACGGGCCTGGGGTCTGTGGACACCAGTTCACCCTCCTCACCAGGCACTGGGGGCCGGGGGGCATCTTCGGTGAAACTTGCTCCGAGGTCCAAGGGGAAACCCTGCTCTTGGACACTCATTTTGGGGCTCTGCGTCAATGAACAACGAGGGCTGCACCCTAATACATCAGTACTTACGGCTCCAAAGTGAATCAATCTGTCCTGTTGAAACCATTAAGAGGACAAGGATTAGGAAAGGTGGGTCCACGGAAACATGGCCACAGAGGCTTTCTCAAGACAAGACTCGTAATGACGCCCTCCCGCTCGAACTCAAGGCCAAAAACTCAGTTTAAGTTTTCAGTCTTTTGTCACAAGGTTTGTGCTACATTAAAACACGTCCTGGAAACTCTTACAACTGCAGGAATGCCTCTGGCGCTAAGAAAGGACTGCCCAGACAGGGAGAGCAGCACTCCCCTCAAGTTCATACTGCGAGCACATCAGAGACCAGCAGCCTGGGGAACCCCATCTCGGCCGCAGAGCTGAGTGACCAGGCCTTCTCTGCCAGCTCCAGGAAGGCCTTCTCTGCCAGCTCCAGGAAGGCAGGAGGACTGGAGGAGAAAGGGGCTTCTGGTCCTTCTAGTTGTACACACCTGGGTGAGAGCCGGTCCCTCACGTGAGAGATGAAGATGACCATCCCACGGGCCCCACAGGGTCACTGTGAGACTCAGACACGGACGGGAAGGCACATCACACACCAGAAGGCGGGCGCGGGCATCTGCTCGCATGTCCTGTAGGCCCACAGCCACTGTGCTTTCTGCCTACCCCACCACATCACACTCTGTATGCTTCACAACGTGTGCACACACACGGCGAGTTGTCTAACTCTCAGCACACGCCTGAAAGAGCTGCTAACGGGGGTCACCTTCAGCATCTTCAACTGGGCGATCAAAGGACACCACCCACACGCACACGTGCAAGGGCCCTCACGCCACCAATGTGGAGCATCTGGAAAATGCTTCCAGCAGAAAGCTGCACTTGACTTCTAAAACCTGACTTATAAGGCAAGTGTCCTTCTGACAACAAATGGTGAGCACTCTGAGAAACAGAGAAGATACAGAAAAACAACAGCCAAATAGTCAAACCTTTCAGCGCAGGAAGCATACAGCTCAGGAGATTTAGCTCGTAAGCTGAAAACCAAGCCACCCGCCCTCTTGGAGGTCAGAGAACTACGGGTTCTACTGTCGCAGCTACAAACCTCCCGGGGTGTGAGGGAGGACTGCCCCGGATCAGGACTCTGCCATGGTCTTCAGTCCTCCTGCCGCATCCTACAGGAGCTCGCGGAGCCCACGAGCTCCGGCGACACCTCCCAACCCAGCCAACGGGGTGACTACAACACAGCCCGCCATGACGTAAGAGGGCTGGCTAGCAGTGGGCTGGAGAGAAGCGTGTCAGGTCCGAACGCCTGGAGCACTGAAAAAGCCAGAGGGAGCAAAGGACAACCCTAAAATCTGGTTTCAGCATAAAGCGTAGCTCTCCCTGGCCACCGCTTGGCGCTCTCAGCCATGGCCTACATGTAATCCACGCCCCCACACCTGCATAATCACACGGCACACACTTCACCTGCCAGCGGCTGCCGATGGCTAGAAGTGAGAAGCATCTAGAGACAGAGAGTGGGTCACAATTATGTGCCCCAAACGACATTTCTGCAGCTAATGACTTCGTATGTAAACTACTTGGTAGGCTGTAATCTGGGCCTCAGCAGGAACGGCCTGCTTCTTAAGGTCAAGGCCCATGGGCTGTGGCCCCCTGCTGCTCGGGACCACTTCAAATGCAAAGTCGCTGTCTCTGAGCCCTGTCAACACAGAACAAGCACCCACACCAGCTCCTGGATTGGATGTCTAACATCCTTGTGTCCGGGACACCGGCCTAGGAGAGAAGGCCCGCACCTGGCCCCTGAGCCTCACCCTTGGAGACACCCTGTGTCACTAGCCTCAAGAAAGAACCAAGTCACTGTTTGCAAACGGATAGCTAAGTAAGAGCCACTGCCACTTCCTCCTAAGGCGCTATGTGTCCTATGTAAATGATCTGTAGCAGGCTGATTCAGACGCTTTCTGCAGCATCACAGCAGCCAGCACAAAGTCTTGCAACTAAGACACACCAACAAATATTTAATTCATTGACATAAAGGAAAACAACACTTGTCATCGATGCCGAATGTTCTCTCTTTACAGATGCTGAACTATCGTGCTATAGACAGCAGCAAATTCATGACCTAGCCCTTGATTACAAAACCATGGCTGTCTTAAAAGGCTACCATTTTAATTCATGTGTGAACAAGTCCCTCTAATCATTTTAGACTATTTTTCATTGCCCAAAAGAAGCATTCCTTACCATTCACATCTATTTTTGGCTGTCAACTGACAGAAGACCTTTCCTGTCCCTGGAAGCACATGGGCACCTCTCCAAGGTATGGACAGCACTGAGATGTGCTCCAGTTCCCGCAGTCTCTGGGTCCCCACAGAGAGGCACACCGAGCAGTTAGTGGACGCACATGTGCAGACCACGCAGAATGCAGTCACACTAACTCAGGCTAGAGTCAAATGCCCACAAGCACTGAATCTGGCCAACAGCCAGTAACCACCATCAATAAAGGGCTTCCATAAAAGGAATCTACAACTCTGATACCGCATTTAAAATCCCATCTAGTCACCAAGGCATCCCTCCTGGGTACCACGGCAGCCAGCTCAATGCTATAGATGTGCATGTATTTATTTATTTTACTTAAATACAACTTTCAGACTTTTGATTTATGTGGAGTATGGAAGTAACAGAGAATGACTCTGACATCTTCCAAACCGTCCACTAATTAAACTCTTGAAGGGTCAGGTCTGCTGTTTTACATGTAATCCATTCCCCCAGCACGTAAGTTCTCAATGACTAATATAACCCAAAAAGGTCCACTTAGCTTTTCTGAAACTAGAAATCCAAGAAACATCAACACCTGCCAAAAATCAAACAGAAACATTGTGTTTTGCATGCTCTCCCATCCTTGTCCCTGAATAGTTCTTAAAACTGAAACCCAGATATTGCCGATCATCTTGGGAGGTCAAGTTTAGAGTGTATGTGTTCTCCAAAACAGAGCCTGTGGGTCCAAATACCCCTGAGATTCTTCCTAAAGAACAAAGAACATAAACGCAAGCAAAAAGGAGTAGTCAAGATGCACCATAAGAACTCTATAAATTCCCTTAGAGATGGACTGAGAAAAATCCCCAGAGAACTGACATATCATTCTCTACTGTCCTCAGTGCCCAGCTAAAAGTTTCACTGCCCTGGCTGTGCAGCTCTAGTTCTGCGGGGTCTGAATTCCAAAATACGCGGTGGGGGTAGAATCTAAGGTCCACGCCCGAGAGAGAGTTCTGGGGGCAAGGCGTCAGTCTGAGAGAGCAAAGCCACTCGGACAAGCCACCCACAGCTGGATCCAGCCCAGGGCACCTCTGCCCTCAGAGGGAGTGCCCTCCTTGGGTTTCAGACTCACTCACTCCCACTCTTTGCTGGGGAGGGGGAAGGGACGCTCCACCGCACTGCCTCTCTCCAGGATCCCTGCCACAATGTCTGGCCCCAGCAGCCACTCTGCACCCCACCCACATCCCAAAACATGCCCCAAGCAGGAGGAGCACAGCACACCTGGCACCATCCAATCAAACACACCAGCTTCCAACTCCAGGCTCCTCCAGGATCACCCCCTACCCCTGCTCAGAAACCTGGGTCTTCCTTACACCCTTCCACTCCCCTAGACCAAGAGTCTGCACTTTCTGAACCAAGCCCCGCAGTCTTCCCCGTTCACACAGGCCAGTGTCAAGAGTCCTTGCACTCTCCATCCCCCGCTAGCATGCCCCCTCTGACACACCTGCCCCCACCGCCTTGGACCCCACACGCACAGCCTGGGCACTCCGGCATGCCTGCTCTTGCACCCTCCCCTCGCACACTCCCGGGCCGCACAGGCTCCCCTCGCCTCCCCCGCACAGCCTTGGAGCCTGCAAACCCTCCCCTCGACCGCCCTGGCCCGCACACCCTCCCCTCACCCTCCCGGCCCCGCACAGCCTCCCCGCACACCCTCGGAGCCTGCACAGACTCCCCTCACCCTCCCGGCCCGCACAGCCTCCCCGCACAGCCTCGGAGCCCGCACACCCTCCCCACGCCCGGCCCGGTCCGCACAGCCTCCCCGCACACCCGCGGAGCCCGCACCCCCTCCCGGCCCGCACCCCCCGAGCCCCTCTTCCGGGTCCCGCCCGCCCGGCCTACGCGGCCTACAATGGGGCCGCACAGGCCCGCGCCCTCGGGAACGCGCGCCAGCCCGCACTCACCCGCGCGCGGCGGCGGGGCCCCGGGCCCGGCTCCCGGAGCGGCGCGGCACGGCGCGGCCCATGCGCTCAGCGGCGGCGCGGCGGGCGGGACGGGGCGGGGGCGCGGCCCGGGGCGGCCCCCATCGCGGCGGCGGCGCGGCGGCCCGGAGGCGGGCGCGGGGCAGGCCGCGGGGCGCCGCCGAGGCCGGCCGCCGCTCTCCCTGGCCTGGTCCCGGGGACGCGGTCCGGCCCGACTCCGGCCGGTCCTGCGGCGGCGGCAGCAGCCGCGATCGCTTCCCCGAGCGGGGAGCCGGACCCGACGCACAAGCCCAGGCCGGAGCGCCCCCGCCGGCGCCGCCCGGAAGTGCGGGGGCGGGGCCGGGCGCGGGGCGGGGCCGCAAGCGTGGGGCGGGGCCGGAACGTGGGGCGCGCCAAGGGCGTGGGGCGTGGCGGAGAGCGGGGGCGGGGCCGCAAGCGTGGGGGCGGGGCCGGGACGTGGGGCGGAACTGAGACTGTGGGGCGGGGCCGGGAGCGCGGGGCGGGGCCGGGACGTGGGGCGGCGCCGAGAACGCGAGACCGAACCAGACTGCGGAAACAAGGCGGGGAACGTGTGGGCGGAGCCTCTGCCGCGGAGGCGGGGCCAAGCGTGTGGACGGGGCCGAGAGCGGGAGCGGAGCCGGAGCGCCGGGGAGGGCGGAGCCTGAGGGGGGCGGGGCCAGGGCGCGGAGGCGGGGCCAGAGCGTCCCGGCGGGCCTGCGGCGCGAGGCGGGCGGAGCGAGCTGGCGAGACGAGATGCACTGACGTGGGGCGGGGCTGTGGTCGCGCCGCTCGGCGAGGATGCCGTCGAAGGGACCCTGGACGGGCGGCGGGACGCTACGCTCGTCCACCTGGGCTATGGCGTCCCGGAACGCGGCGTGGGGAGACGTCCCCGCGAGGTTCCCTGAAGGACCCCGGCCACCGAGAGGACCGGCCTGGCACCCAACTAGCCCGGTGCCCCTCATGTGGGCACACGCTAGGAGGCAGCCCATTTCTGCCGCCCACACCGGTGTCCACCTCCCAAGGTCGGCCCGCGCCCAGCCGGCCTCCCACCCGCTCGGGGCGAGCAGCTGGTGCCCGGGCGGACGTGGTGGCCAGACGGACTGGAGACCTCGGGGCTCCCTGCCCGCCACCCTGGACAGGAGGACCTTTGCAGGAGGACGGCCACCAACTGCCCGCGGACTGAAGGAAGCAAGTGTCCAGGAGTTGGGTGGTTGGAGGGCAGAGCCAGGCTGACCGGTACCTGAGCCCCTGGTGACCACCAGCCCCAGTCTCCACCTTCTCCATGCCGGCTGCCCCCTAGCTGGCCAGGACCCTGAGAAGATGGGCCAGGGCTCTGCACTCCCTGAGTCCCCAGGCAGTCTGGACTCAGAGAGGGCCAAGGCACACAGTGGGCAGGAGACATCCCATAAATGCTGGCTGTCACTTAGGCAGTAACCCCACTGCCAAAGAGCTGTGGCTGAGACTGGCTGAGGCCTCACCCCAGCTGGGCCCATCTGCCTCGATTTCTCCCAGGCACCATCCAGGTTCTGGACAGGGCTCCCCTTCCCACCACAGGCTGTGGGTCCCACTCGCCCAGGCCAGCCTGAGAGCAAGGGCTTCTGGATGTGCTGATCCCTGCACCCACTGCCCTCCCCATCCCCTGCACTCCCCACACCCCCCACTGTCACCATAGCAGCCCTTGTCCTATGCACAAGCCCAGGTGGCCGACTCCATGTTTCCCACCCACCACCAACTCCTCCCCAAGGGATGGATGTGAGCACCAGGAATTGATTATTGCCCCTAAGGAATCACTTCTGCCACCACCCAGGACCCTGTCCTCTGCAGAGCCATGCCAGGCCTGGCACCTCAAGAAATGCTACCAGCAGCCTCCAGGGAAGGGCTATACCCCCATTCTATAGACGAGGAGGGTACAGCTCAGGCCACAGAGAGACCTAACCTCCTAGCCCAGGGCTCCCCAGCACCTCGTCCATCCCACACCTTCCCCAACAGCCCCCATCTGATCTGCTCTCTGGTTCCCATAGCCCGTCAGGGCCCCTCCCTGACATCTCCTCCACACCACCCTCCCTGGGTGTATCTGGTCACTTGCCCACCTTCATCCTTCCACTACCCTGCCCCCCCCGAATCCCCCAGGTCACCTCTAATGCCACCGCATCTTCTCCTGGACACTGCTCACCCTCCCTGCCCACTCTCATCCTTCACAGCTCCCAAGCAAGGACAGAAGTCCTGGCTCAGTGTTCCTTGAGCCACCAGCCAACCTCCCACCCAGCTGCCCATTGGTGGTGCTTGCCTGGGGGGAGTGGGTACAGAGGCATCCCAGCCCCCAGCCACTGGCATCCTGCCTCTCCGAGGACTCGACATACCATCCACTGCTCAGGGTTTTGTAGGAAAGAGGAGCAGTGAGGAATGAGGACCAGGGAAGCATCCCCAGCCTGCCAAGGGCCCAGGCCCCCTCCTAGGGTCATCATCATGCCTCGGGGCCGGCTTGGCAGGGGCGGAGGCCATGGGTTAGGACAGCACATCACAGGAGCTGCACTGCTGAACCCACACTGACCCCACTGGGGTCCTGGCAGCAGTGTCACTCTCGCCCGCATCCGGCTAGAATGGCCCCAGGCCTTGCAGTGCTGGGCATGGGGGACGCCCTCGCAGCTCCTCCCCCAACTTGTTAAGCCTCAGAGCCTCAGAGGAGGCAGAGTGGTGGCCCTCATGGCACAGTGTGGTCTCTGTGGAGTGTGGAGTCCTGGGTGGGCTGGACAGACAGCAGGACCTCCTGGACATTGGCTCTCAAGCTGCCTCCCCACTCCCAGACACGGGCCCCCAATGCTTGCCTTGGTTCTGCAGAGCTGCTGCTGCGTCCCAGGGTTGCGTCCATGTCCATCCTCCTCCTGGCCCATGGCGGCAGGTGCCCCCAGGCCCTGGGGCCAGAACAGGGCCCTTGGGCTTCCAGCTCTTCAGGGCCCCCGCCCTGCAGGGACAGGAAGGGAATCAGAAAGCCTGGAGGCACTGCGGCAGCCCTGCCCCGGTGGGTACGGCCGTGGGCATGGAGGCGACACTGTCCGAGCAGGGGGAGGGGTGGGCTGGATGAGGGAGCTCAGGGAAGCCTCTGAAGAGAGGGAGGCGGGAAGGGCAGCACTGCAGGCCTGTGATGAAGCAGGGGTGACCTGGTGGGGACTGCGTCAGCCTCCCAGAGCTGAGACCAGAGGCAGAGCCGAGGGAGTCCAAACAGGCGAGTTCCGAGATGGAGCAGCCTCCTTTCTTTTAAGGTCCTTTAAAATGCAACTCCCCTTCGCTGGAGCCAGAGTTGGCCACTGAGGCTTCAATCTGATTAACTGTTGATGACATATGTGCAGGCTTTCCAGGAACTAAGCGAAAAACTTAAGAGCAGAAATGAAATTATTTTCTTCAACTTAGACAAAAAAAGGAATACTTTAAAATAAAGTCAGCTTTGAAGCCTCACACGCGTTCATCCTCCTGGCTGAGGAGACCAGCTCTGAAAAGCGATGCGTAGAAATCGCCGAGGATGCAGTGAGGAGGCATGCTGGGCCCGATGCGCGACGGTGAACACCAGCCCCAGAGGGGCAGCTGCAGAGATGCGACACTGGCAGATCCCCATCGTCTCCCTGGGAGGGGAGGACAGGGCTTCTGGAGGTGGGGTGGGCAGGCAGGTGAGGCCTGGCTCGTCCAATTCCAACCACAGGAGTGGACTTCCCTTCCGAGGTGCAGCCCCAGCCACACTGGCCATCAGCCCAGCCCCCTGGGCTCCGTCTGGTCCCTCAGTGTCCTTTTTCCATCCGTTCTGAGCTCGGGGGAGGGCCGTGTGTTGTTTCTGCCCCCATCGCAGGCCCAAAAGAGGATGCGGTGACACCACACCGAGGTGGAGAGATGTATCACCAAGAAGATTAGGAGACGGTGCATGCACGGTGCCCACTTTCGTGAACACAGGAAATGTGGGCACAGAGTCAAGAAGACTAAAGAACTGTCCTGGAGCATTGACAGCAGTTGTTGCTGGAAAGTAGGGTCAGGCTCCCTTCTCTCCTTTGTGCCTTCAGGGGGAAGTGCTGCAACAATGTTGCCTTTCCAATCACAGGGAAACCCCAAAGCTCTGCAGCAGGCACAGTCTCTACCTCCACGTCAGTATAAATTAATCTGCTGGAGCGAGTGGGGGGGGGCGGCGGGGGGTGAGGCCTGGGGTCGACAGAACTGACTAGTTGGGCAGTGTGGGGCAGGGTGGCGGGCCCTGTCCTGAAACTGTTGCAGTCGCCCCAAGTCGGGCCCAGGACCAGCAAGACGGTGCCGCCTTGAGCTTCCTGGGCCAGCCCGGCTCCCCGTGGGCACCCTGGGCTGGGGCTCCCTGGGTCCTGACTCTGCCTCAGGCAGGTCCCCCTGCCTCTTTCCTCCTGTGTTCGGCTCCTCTTGCCTTTCACACCTGGGGCAGGTGTGTCGTCCAGGCTGGCATCTTGCATCCCTCTTGCTATCTGGAGTTCTCTGGCCAGCCCTTCGGCTGAAGCTGCCTCAAGCAGATGCCCTAGGCGTGACAGGGTTCTCATGGCCAATCTGGGAAGGTAGGGGGATGAGACCAGGGCTTTGCCTCAAACACGCCAGCTCCAGTGTCAGCCCAGTGCCCACCGCTCAGTGCATGACACCTGGCGTGACTGTCAGCTTCTATCCTGCAGCTGTATGTCGTCCTGGTCTGAATCCCTGCTCCTAAGAGTCATTGTCAGCTGCTTTCAGGGCTTGCCACACCTTCCATGCTCTCCCCTTTCACAGGGGAGGAGGTCCCCCCACCACGGGTACTTGGCATCCTCTCACAAAAGGCCAGTGTGGTCACTGTGTATTGTGCTGGTTCCCACTCACTCTCAGTGCAGGGTCCCAGCCCAGCCGGCCAGTGCCATGCTCATCCTGTGTCCCCTGCATGGACAACTCACCCAGCAGACCTGATACAGCCCCGACAGCCCCAATGGCTCCCGTGAGTCGAGGGTCCCACCCCGGGCAGACAGGACAACAGCGGCATGGCGGCAGATGTGGCCCCCAGGGCAGTACACTCCATCCCAGGGTGCCCTCCACAGCCCAACTCGGGTCTCACCTCATGTCCTGATGGGGGTCCTGTCACCCAGGCTGAGGGGCACAGCAGGGACACCTTCCCACACTGCCTTTCTGGAGGATTCTGACCCCAGGGATTTGTGCAGGGTTCCAGGAGATGGTTGAGTAGGGTCAGGGCGAAAGGGGTGGCATTGAGGGTTTGAGGTCCCAGATGGCCCCCACCGGCGGGCCTAGGAAGGAGGAGGGGAGAGCAGCCCACCCACCCCCAACCAGGCTCCTCGCCAACTTGGGAGCCTCAGGGACCTGGGGGTGTGGCCAGCGCTGCCCAGCCTTCGCCTCCGTGGAGACTTGAGCGTCTACTGTGTCTCTGGCCAGCTGGTGGCCCTGGGTACACCAGAGTACCCTCCCCAGCAGAGTGAGGGTGCTGACCCGACCCTGCTGGGCTCAGAGGCCCGTGAGTGACCCTCCGAGAATGGCCTAGGGTGCAGGCTGGAGCCTATGCTGGCTGTGGCCCTGTCAAGTGTCTCAGACCCCTCATGAGCAGAGGGAAGGGCCTGCTGGCCTCCCCGGACCCCAGGAACAGTAGTGTCTGAGAGGAGGGGTCGTGTGCCTGACGGGGGGGCTCTGGCCTCTGGAAGCAGCAGCGGAAGCCCACCCTCCGGGTAGGCTCAGACCACCTCCCCCCTGGACTCAGGCATGCCTGCCCTCCTGCTGCACTGACCCTCACGCCAGGCGGACTTTTGCTTTGTCCTTGCTGTTCCCTCACCAGGAATGCCCTTCCCCGTCTGACCACTCCATCCCCGAAGGCCTCTCCTGGGGCTGGGAGCTCATGTTTCTCCTACCACCGGACCGGACGCACCTCGTTCAGCCCCCGCAGGCCTGCACGGTCACGGGGACCAGGGGCTACCCCCTCACTGCAGCTCGGGGGGGCTTCATAACGGGAGGCGGGCCAGCTGCCCCGCCCACAGCCCACGCCCTCCAGCTCTGCCCCACCCGCCCTCCACTCTGCCGCCCCACGATGTCTCTCTTGGCTGCCTAGGAGCCCTGCGGCCACCGGGGCCAAGGTCTGAGTGTGTGATTATGTATGCCGGGGTCCCTGGGCCCTTTGTTGCTGCAGGGTCTGCGTGGCACACAAAAGTGCACTGGATTAGCCACAGTGGATTAAAAGATTTGCTTCTCAGAGTTTACCTAATAACCTAACAATCCCGCTGACGGAGGCTTTGAACCTCCAGGACACGCTCGCCAGGCCATCTGGGAGCTCTCGGCCTCTGCGGGCAGGACAGCAGAAGGGGTGGTTACAGGCAGCCACCGGCTGTCCTCACGCCGGCTCTGCCCGCAGCCGGGCCTGCCCCCTCAGCTCCTGCCAGGCCCATCTGGGCCAAACTTGGCACGGGACCGACTCCAGGAGAAGGTGGAGGCCCAGGTGGGCAGACGAGGTCCAGCCAGGACCACCTTCTAGAGGGCCCACTGCCTGAGGCCAGGTGTGGGTGGTGGGGCCCGGGCCTCACCGGCACCCAGACCGGCCCCCTCGGCGCATCCACACATTGCACACAGCAGCAAGGACACAAGCAACATGGAGGGTGGTGGTGGCCGTGGTGGGCAGGTGACATGGCAGGCTCCACCACGCTGCGGCGCACAGCCCCACTGCCGTCGCCCCACAGTGCGCGTTCCTGCACACACGCGTGCACTCGCACACGCGCACGCGCGCGCGCGCACACACACACACACACAAACGTGTCACTCTTTGATCTCCAAAGGACCCTCCATTTGCAAGCTCGTAATCGCAGCTGCTTTTCCAGGCCTGTCCTCTGAAGTCCCGAGTAATGGGATTTGGCGCTTCTGATCCATCTTGGGCTGGCTGCTCCCGTCATAGGTGGACATTTTTTCCCTTTTTTTCGCTTTTTTCTCTTCTCGAAAAAATGCTCCTTAAACCGCACTGAGTTGACGTGACCTGTCGCCTAGCCCTGGGAGCGGTGGCCGGGAGAAGGGCCGGTGGCCGTCCTGCCGAGGGCCCAGCCAGTTGGGGGTCTTTGATGCCGCCTCCATGTGAAATCTGACGTGAGCTGTGAGCGCCAGCTTCGGGACGCGGCGCGGTGGGGTTCGTTCTGCCTCGTGCTGCTTCCTTTGTCTCTCCCATGACCCTTCCCTGGGACATTTGGGGAGAGGGTCCCAGGGTGGGGGTCCGGGTGTGGGTGTGTGCGTGTGCGTGTGCGTGCAAGGGAGGGCGCGCAGGGCGGGGTGGGCTGAGGGCAGCGCCTCGGCCACGAGAACAATGGGCAGCAGAGGGCATGTCCACCTGTCCACCTGTCCGTCCGTCTGTCCATCCACCCCCTCGGCTTACCTCACCTGCCTGGCTCCGTGTGCCTGCTCGCGCCCCGCCATCCCTCGGTCCGCCATGATGGGCTTGGCCGTCCGTCTGAGCACTTTCAGCCACTCCAGGAAGCGGGTCCCTGCTCTTGGCCACTGTGTGGCTGGGAGGAAGAAGCGTGACTCCAGGCTGCAGCTCGGGCTCCCACCGCCGATTGGCTGAGGCAGGGACCAGATGACGGCCTCGGAACCCTATGGTAGCCATGGCAACCAGCCCCTTTAGACACCGCCACCCCCGAGCCACTCCTGACTGCCGAGGGAGCAGGCGGCGCTGCCAGTGGGCCCATGCCGGGATCCCCTCAGAGGGTTGGGTCAGGTGTGGCCAGACAGTGACCACTCCTGCATCCACTGTTGAGTGTTTTCATGTGTGTGTTTCACGCATGTCCAATGTGAGAAGTCCCTGTCCCTGGGACGTGTCCCAGGCCACTCCATGCCCTGCCTGACCCTCTGGTAGAGGCAGGAACAGTGTCCTTGTAGCCTCTGCTAAGAGAAGGACTTCAGGTCAGGCTTGCCCTAGGGGCTGGAGGCCAGGCTCAGTCTAGTGACAAAATAATGGACGAGGGCAAGGGGAGGAAGAGCAGGGCACTCCCCAGCCGCAGGGGGCAGAGCCAAGCTCTCCATCCACTTCAGACCACAAGAGTCTCAATCCACTTTAGACCCCTGCCTGCCAAGCCCTCCTCCACACCCTCATTAGCCTGTTGAACTCATGGACTCGCTCACACAGTGCCCTCCCAAGACTCTTCAAAGGCCCCAGCATGGCTCCACTGCCCCAGACCTTGCGTCCCCACCTGGCAGGACTCTGGGACTTCACCACGCTAAGCGCTCTCCAACCCTGTGCAAACTGCCACACACCTGTGACTTGCACCTGCTCTTCTTTTGGCCTGCGCCCCCAGACTGTCAGCACCGGCCCCTCAGTGAGGCCTTCCCAGATGTCTCAAGACCAGGGCTTCTGAGCAAGGCCACAACGCAGCCTCACTTCAAGAACTGACCATCCAGGGTGTTGCAGGGCAGTGAGTGCCCCAGGCCACCCTTCCTCCATTTCTGTGAAGGCTCCTGGCCTGTCCAAATGCTTCTGGGATCAGCAACACCTGGTCAAGGCCCCCGTGAGCTGGGGGAGGCCACGTCCCACTTCCTGGCCCAGGCCCAGCCCACCTGCTAAAGAGATCAAATGCGGAGCAGCGGGGCTGCCAGAAGGCAAGCCTCGAGCCTCGAGCCCCAGGGAGGAGGCCAAGGCTGAGGCAGGCCCCTGGGGGCCCAGAGACTGCTGGCGAGGCTACTGCTGAGGCCAGAGGGACCCAGGAGCCAGAGGGAGCCTGGAACACAGGTCCACAGGGGTTGCACATCCAACGGGACGGGCTCAGGGCCCCCAGCCAGCCCCCTGGACTTGGTCTTACACTGCCCAGCCCAACCCCCAGCCAACTCATCACAGGACCGAGCCCCAGTTGGTCTCGCCCAGGGGCAAGGTGTGTGTGGAGACAGAAGCCAGAACCAGCTGCGGGTAGTGGAGAAGGGTCCAGGGGCTGGAGCCCCATTCTGGGGCTTGTTGGCTCAGAAAGGGCTCCAGTGAGCTGTAGCAGAGGGTGCCAGATGGGCGGGGCTGGGAGGGGTGGGAGGGAGCCCACAGCCAGCAGAAGGTTTAAGGGTGCGCAGTGGATGGTGAAGGTGGAGGTGGAGTCCAAGCGCAGGCCCGGGGAAGGGCAAACAGCACGGGTGGGTGGGCTTCACAGCACCCAAGACCCTGACGGGGCCCAGGACCGGCCTGCTCTCTCCACACCTGCCGCCCTGAAGCCAATGCACAGGTGAGCGAGACTCAGGCAAGACCCTCAGGAGGAGGGGGCAGGCACAGAGCCCCGGCCCGGGCCCACCCTTCCTGGCCTTGGTCACCCATCTCTAGACAGAGTCCATCCTCTCGCCCTTCCTGGGACTCAAGGACATCTGAATGACAGAGCGGACACAACAGGGCCTCAGGACACCATGTGTTGATGGCCGCTTTCTTGTCAAGGACCCCTCTCCAGTCCACAGCCACAGCGATGGTCCACCCTCGCGTCCATGGCCCAGCCATGGCCGACACTGAAGCTGACTGGTTGAGCTCTGTTGTCATGAAAACACGTGGGACACACGGTGGAGGAAGGGGGCTTGCCCCTGGACAGCTGGGGAGGGTTGGACTGAGCTGGTGCGGGGACAGGGGCATGCCCGCTTGCCTGCCATGGGCCAGGGCAGAGCAGCTCTGGCTTCTGCAGGTTTGACCTCGGTCAATGCAAATCCTCCCAGACCAATCCAGGGGCCGAGGGGCTGCAAGGCCTCAGCGAGGGCAGAACTGGGGGTTCCCGGCAAGACAGACAGGGCAACCAAGGACTGGTGGAGCTGTGGTTGACGGGGGAGAGACATGGAAGGCAGCTCAGCGCCTGGAGGGGGACACTCACCAGATGGGCCCCCACAACTCAGCTCCTGGTTCTGTGTGCCATGTGGGCAAGTGCAGCCGTGTCCCCCTCCCTGCCCCGACTCTGGGCGGTGGAACAGCACAGCAGACCGGCCTGCCAGGGCCTGTCCCAGACAGGGGTTATTGCTTTACATGGGGCGGGGGGCAAGTGTCCCTCACTGAGGGCTTCTTAACCTTTCCTGAGTCAAAGATATTCGTGAGAACTTGATGAAATTGATGCTGCCTCCAACCAGAAAAAGGCTCACATTTTGGAGATTCAGGGTCAAGGCCACACTCAGACCCCAACCTCAGCCAGCCTCAGGTTTTGGGGAGGTGAGTGACAGGCTGAGGCCACGCCAAGCTCCCCCTACCAGCCAGCAGCACTGGGCCATCCTGGTGGTAACCCAGGGGCCCTTGGGGGAGCAGAGCGGCAGCCTGAGTCAGGGCAGGGCAAGACCGACACTCGCTCATCCCACCAGTGCTGATGGGCAGACTGAGGCGTGGGTCTACCCCCTCCCCACCATGGCCCACAGGAGGCCCAGTCCCCTCCCTGCTCCAGCTACTCACCCTGTGCCAGCCCCAGGTCCCTGGGAGCCCGAGGGTTCTGACACAGGAGCCCCTCAACCAGTGATCTCAGTTGGGGCCGGGAGAGCAGGTGAGCAAGGGTAACTGAGGCCCAAGGTCCATGAACGGGGCATGTCCTGGGTACACATCTCAGGGTCCCAAGTGACAGGCTGAGGGGCTGCGGAGGCATGAGTGTGACTCAGTTCAGGGCTAACATGAAAAGCATGATGTGGACGTGAACATAGGGAGGGCTGGTCCCTCCAGAGCATCACGGATCTGGCTGGAGCCAGAGGCTGTCGTTCGGACAAGTGGCTAGGACTTGCCAGCCCACCAGAGCAGAGCTGGGTGTTGTCAGCTTTTGGTAAAATTTTTTAAGAATTAAAAACTGTTCACCAGGCAGGGATTACATGAGAAAACACTCGTGTGCAGGAAGCTTCAGCACACGCGGGGTCACAGGCACCCCTGGAGGAGCTGGGGACAGAGACCCCTGGGCACTACCCCCAGGCAAGGCAGGCCACACCCCTCAATGACCTCCTTAGGAGCCCCGGGACCTCCGGCCCCAGCCGTGCCCACTGCCTGGCTGCAGCTCCCTCTGGCCTCTGCCTCCCTGAGCACCGTCCAGACATCGTCACTCCCATAGCGCCCCTGATAGGAGCCCAGTACCCCTCAGTCAACTGCCAGGACCAGAGCAGGCAGACCCCTCCCTGTCCTCCCAGAGACCCAGTTGGGTCTCAGTGCTCAAGACTTCCACGTAAGAGCCAGGGAAGTGGCAAAAGCACCCCTAGATCTCAGAGCAGAAAAGGCCTCAGGGTGCCTTGCCCAGTATCCTACCAGGACCCACATGCCCACCAGGGCACCCAGGTTGGACGCCTGCAGGTCCGCGTGGCATGACAGTGACAGGGTGGTGCTGATAGAGGCTCCTGACTCAAGGCCTTCCCCGCAAGATGCTGCCACGGCTGCCCAGAGCTACTGGGGGTGCTCCCACCCTGAAGGGCACACGAGCACGGACACCTCCCGGTCACTCCCAGAGCCAGGCCACAGCCTCCCTGCCTCTGCCCTGCAGAATGTTGCAGAACATGCAAGGATGTGCAATGGGAGGGGGGCTCTATCGCAGGATGCCTTCAACTACACTGGACTCTCTCCCAGAGGAAAGAAAATCACCAAAACAAACCTTGGTCAGCATTCAGCTGGGGACCGCCACCCATCTCAGCTGCGGCCACAGTGTCTGGGGCAGAGGGTGACGCAGTCAAGGACTACGTGGGAGAGCTCAGTCCTCCAAGCAACGCAGCACACACACGGCCCGGCTCAGACTTTACTCAAGCTTCCCCCCAAGTGTGTGACCCTGCCTCGGCCGGGCCTCCGCTGCAGGACGGAGGGGGGACCGCGGGGCAGCACAGAGGCCCCAGGGCTCTAAGGATCCTGAGACAAGAGGCCCCAAAGGGCCTCACAAAGCCCACTCTACTCCAGGAGCTGCATGGCCGGCACACACAAGCACAGGTTCACCCACAAATGGCCCTCGCCACCACCACAGGGTCTGTGTCCACGGTGCTACAGGGCACGGGGTTGGGGCTGAGCCTGGCTGTCAGGCCCGGCACACTACGTGGTCACTTCTCGCTGGTCTCTTCCCACCACTGCCGGCTCAGACAGTGCCTCCTGCTGAAGCTGCTTGATCAGTGACTCCACGTAGACCTTGAACAGAGGGACCGGGTCCTGGGGAGAGACGGATCACAGTGAGGCATTCTGGGGCGGACGGGAGTCCAGCTGCTGTGGGCCAAACATGGAGAGGACCGAGCCGCTCAGGCTTGGCCGCAGGGTCAAGCAGGGCTACTCGCCGCCCCAGCCCCCAGGCCTGAGAGCAGCGCCCCGTCGTGAAACAGAGACGACCTTCCCTTGGGGACACAGGGATCAGGGGCCTGCCCCTACTTCCCTCCTAGGGGCCTGTGGTCGCAGATAACACAGGCTCTAGACCCTTCTAGGGCCAGACCCAAAAAGGCCTCAACTCAATACCGCGAAGATCCTGTGGGATACCAGGTGGCCAAGGAAAACGCCGGTGCCAAGAATCCATTCCTGTCACCAAGTCTTTCGTCTAAGAATCTATGAAGCTGGCCAAAGGAGGCAGGAGAGGGTCAGGACCTCGAGGAGAGGGAACAAGCTGTGCAGACCCCACAGGGCTGTGGCTACAGCCGGGCTGCTATGGGGGGGCTCCTCCCCAAGCCCACCTGGGGCAGTGGCCCCTCACCCAGGCTCCCGGGGTAGCACACTTCCCCACCCAAGAGCACACGGCAGCTGGCGCTCACACACGCTCACCTTCTCTTCCAGAAGCCTCTGCTTCTCCACAGCTTCCTCCAGCGTCAGGCCAACCCACTCAGCCTCTGCCTCCGGGATGACGAACTCCTGGGCGGGAGAGACAGGGCGAGCGGTGAGGCCGGGGCAGCCAGCGGGTGGGCCCACAGGAGCAGGAGGTACAAGCCCCGGCCCTCACCTTGTACTTGTCGTAGATGGCCGCCCTCCTCTCAGGGTCGTCCGGGTGCAGCTGGGGGTCCCGTCGGGCAAGCCGCAGCAGCATCCCTCGCTTCAGGTCCATCCCGAACTTGGAGCACAAGTCCTCCTTCGGGGTCTAGCGAGAGGCTGCATGTGGGGCCAGGGGCTGCCAGCAGGCCGCCCGCCCTCCCCGCCGCCCGCCCAGCAGAGCACGTCAGGCCAGCAGGGCAGCCCCAGCACTCAGACCAGAATAGAGGAGAGTCAGAAGCAGGGAGGGACGCGGCAGGGCTCACTCGGGCCCGAGGGCGAGACGGCTGCCCACAGTGACCGACTCTCCTGGGAGCAGAAAGTCCCCACGGGGGCTGCCCGGAGACAGGCACGGCCCCAACAGCCATTTACGGGTGACCCTCCACTGCCACCGTGGTGCTGCCCTGGCCTCCCGTGAGTCTCTAACCGGTCACAAGGCCCTGCCGTGGGCGGCCACTTGCCTTGAGGATGTAGAAGTCAAACCCGTAGGCCTCATCAATGAGGTCCAGGGTCCGCATGGTCACGGTCACAGTGAACTTCGTGTCCAGGATCTCACTGTAGAGCTCACGCTGGAACAGCTGTGGCTTCCACACGTTCTTTACCCTCTTCGAGAGCTGAGGGAGCAGAAGAGGCTTCACAAGTGCTGCTGCTTCTCCAGACAGACCCGAGGGAGGCCCAGGGCAGCTGCCCGGACTCGGGTCATGGAGCTGGCGTCCACCTAGAGGTCAGCCTCCCCCCAGTTAGCGTGGCACCCCAGGCCTTGCCCATGCTGCCCACGTGTGTTCCAGACACACCAAACACACGATCCTAATGCCACAGTCTACAGGGCATCACATTTCAAACCAGGAGCCAAGGGGCCAGAGGCAGAGGGAGACGGCAGCCTGGGGGGCTCAGACACAAGGCTGCCCCAGAGGGCTCAGCAGCCCCTCCAGGCTCCCACCGGAGGGGGCAGGGTGTTGGGGACAGACAGGAGCCATGCTGCCAGGTGAATCTCTAGCCTTCCTAAGCGTGACAAGGAGGTGGCAGCGCCAGCCTTGCAAGTGTGACGACAAACAGGCAAACTCTGGCCAGTCAAGCTGACAGGTGACAGCAGACCCTCACATTTGATCTGGGCGGCCACCCCAGGGCCTTTGTACTTGCTGAACCTCCCCCCAACCCCACTGTGGCTTCACTCCTTTGCACGCTCCTCGGATGTAGCTGTCTCCACCAGACTCTAAGCCCCCCAGGGCCGGTCGGCGCCCGTTATGCTCGCCAGGCAGCTCGGGAGGCCAGCACAGAGCCCAGAGCAGCAAAGCCCGGGAAGTCCCCCTGATGCGCGCCCGCTCACCGACCTTGTCGTTGTTGACGTATCTGTGGCCCAGGATCCAGCCCTCGCCGCCCCAGAGCCCCAGCTGGGACTCCGGGGGGTAGTGGATGGGAACGGGCACGTCCTCCACGCGCTCCCGCTGCCCGTTCTTGGGGCTGATCTTGAACTTGGCCCCGTGCGGCCTGTAGTGCACGGGGGCGGGCGTGCGCGCCTCCTCCAGGGAGCGCAGGTAGTGCTGCGGCAGGCGCGCGCAGAGGCCCTCCCGCAGCCGCAGCTGCTTCCACAGGCGGACCGGGACCTTGTGCAGGGGCATCGCGGCGGCCTGGAGGCAGCGGGCCGTCACGCCGCGGCCCGGCCCTCGACCCCATCCCTCCGCGCGGCCCCGACCCCGGCCCCCACCCCCAAACCAAAGCCCGGGACCCCACAGCTGAGTGCGCCTCCTACCTCGGCGAGCTCCGAGCCCCGCCGGAACCGGAAGCCGCGCCGCGTGCCCGGGCCCCGCCCCCCCGCCGACTGGCTGCCACGCCCGTCCGTCCGCCCTCGCCCCGCCCCTCGCCCCGCCCCCCGCGCTCGGGGATCTGGACACCGCCCTGCGGAGGGAGGCGACCGCTCCGGCACCGTCGGCCGGGCGACCCGTGTCCCCGAGCGTTAGCCGTGGGGGGGGGGGGGGCTTGCCATCCGCGGTCCCACCGCCCTTCTCCCCGAGGAGGGCAGAAACAGTGCGGAAAACCGTCTGCCTTGAAATATCACCGTAGAATATTAAATTCATCAATTACAGCGAAATCACAGCTACAGAAAAATATGTCTTCATGTCTTAAAAAGTTTTACCCCAAAAACACCATATACAAATGTATCCCCTTTACAAGCCTAGAGAATGCTTGGGGTGGCGAAGCGCATGGAGGCTGGGGGCGGGGCAGGTGTCCAGGGAGGCGACAACCTGGACGGGACCCAGCAGGGAAGCCCCAGGGCCACGTGGGGCGGGGTGGGAAGGGTTTGCCTAGTGCCCGGATTCTGGGCCTCCGCGACCCCCCTGACCCCGCCCGCATCCCTCACGCAGACAGCAGCCCCCGCACGCTCTCCTTGGGGATGCGCGGCGCACCGCCTCTAGGGGGCTGGGACCCCTCCCCCTCCTCTCCCACAGAGGAGGGAGATGGTTCTTTCCCCATCGCGGGGTGGGCCCCTGCAGGGCGGCAACATCACGTCTCCTCCTGGGAACTACTCAAGAGGAAGCTCCCCAGACAGGGGCCCATGAAGCCAGAGGTGTGGGGACACAGAGTTGGGGCAGGGCGCGCCCTGTGGTGCCAGCACCCCCAGAGCGGCTTGGCAACCCCCTCCCTAGGAAGCTCTTCTCAGAGGCCGGCAGCTCCAAATCTGAGAGCCAAAGGGAGGGGAGGGGCAGAGCACGACAGCCAGAGGCCAGCTTCTGGTATGCCGCTCATGAGAGCTAGCCCCTTCATCCATCCCCCAGTGCCCATTAGTTCCCTGGTGAGCATGGTCACCCTCCCCACAGCAACTGGGTCAGCAGGGGGTATTCCCATGCCCAAGGCAGACTGGCATTCAGAGGCACACGGTGTCAGGGAGCCAGGGATGCAGGGAGGGCACAGCCAACAGCCTCAGGGGCAGGGGCCCATGGGAGCTGGGCTCAGGCCTCCCCTGTCCGCCAGGTCTCATGTCGCAGCTTCTCAGAGGAACAAGGCCATAGGGAAACCTTTTTCCACATCTCCAACCATCCCCAGGCCAGCAGAACACAGAGCCTGCCCTGCACAGTCCCTGTGGTCTCCAGGCAGCCAAGCCTAGGCCCCAAAGGCCACTGCAGACACCAGCTGGGACCTGCAGAGGGGCCGAGTCAGCCGCAGCACAAGAGAGTTTGAGGGTGTGGTCCTCTCCTTAGGAGGAGGAATCAAAAAGGTGTGCAGGTCAATTTTATTCAGGTGGAAATTGATCTGGATAGGGTCCCTCTCCCTTGGTTCTGCCCCTGGCTAGAGAGGTCATCATCAAAGCTGCAGGCGTCCCCGAGCTGGCCATGTCACGTCACTGTGTACAGCTCTTCCCGGTGGTTTTTGCAGATCTGATAGTGGCAGGTGAGCTTTTTGGAGCAGGCCCAGGGCTCGGTGTGCTTGTCACGAGGTGGCAGCAGGAACGCTGCGCTCCCTGCCAGCAGCATGTGCCAGATGCTATGGGTGTAGTAATAGTTGTCGCTGGTCATCATGGAGGTATAGATGGCGAGGGCCACAGTGGCCATGGAGATGCCAGGCAGGAGGTAGAACACCCAACGCTGCCAGGAGGTGGGGTAGCACTGACGCCGGTGCCCGCAGCGGTACACCTGGAGAGAACCGCCATGTACGCGTTGGCACAGGGTGCTGCAGCCACAGCTCCCAGGGACCCACCCAGAAACATGGCCAGAACGAGGGGCCAGACTCTCTCTTCCCAGAGTGGGGGTCCGTGAGGAGCCCACGCTCTCTTATCCCAACCCCTGGGGCGAGGGTCTGGGCAGGAGCACTGGCCTGCCCAGCTCCTTACCCACATGGTGACCATGACCACAAAGGCAAAGAGGCAGGGCCCCATCGTGTTCCAGGCCCCCCTGCGGTCCAGCTGCAGGGACATGGCGAAGACCAGCGTGCCCAGGAGATACAGCACCTGGGCAAAACACAGGCACGACCGCAGGGTCACAGGAGCCCTGGGCCAGGGTCGTCCGTGACGGCACGAGGTCCAACAGGAGGAGGTGGCCTGGGCACGCCAGTCATCCTGCTGTCCCTCACTGCGCCCATCACCTCTGCCCGCCCCTTGGAGCTGCCAGCACACTCCATCCTGCCCTGCCGGCTGGGAGGGAGGCGCCCCTCATCCAGCTTCTGCACTGCCTGTACCTGTTACTCGCACTCATCTGTCCACAGGTGAATTTCTGAGGCAAAAAGTTAGCCCAGTGGGGCACCAGGGCACACATCCCCATTGGCCAGGCCGCGCTGAGGCAGAAAAGTCCCCAAAGCATCCTCAGCACGAGGGACGCTAGGAGCACATCTGGGGAGGTGCGGCCTAGGGTTGCCGCCCCATGAGAGAGACAGGATGGGGGAGCCTCACCTAACCCTGCCCACCACCTTCCTTTCCTGGCATCCTCCAGCAACCAGCACAGTCCCTTCCCAGCTGGCAGCAGCTCTTCCAGCAGGAGACTGGTCATCATGAGAGACAGGAGGTCTCTAAGGGCAGCAACCAGACCCTCTTTCTGGTCTCTCCCTCGACATGCTGCATGCAAGGGCCTCTGCTCCCCCAGAGCCCAGACTGGGGGTGTCAGGAGGTGACTCACATATTTCAGGGCTGCCTTTAGCCGCGCCATGCAGAGGATGGTGACCCACATGGACACTCCGGAGCCCAGGAAGTCGCAGTACTGCAGGGTGTCATAGTTGAGGATGCACAGCACGGCCTCCCCTGGCTGGTCACAGGCGTGGTAGAACTGCGGAGCAGGACAATGAGTGGAGGCCCAGACCTCCCACGAGTTCCCACGGGAGCGGGGCAGGCCTACCGTGGAGAAGAACATGGTGTAGGTGTAGACGGCAGCCTCCACCAGGAGGGACCGGTACACAGAGACGGCGATGGGAGCCAGGAACAGGAGGTTGCTGAGGGTGAGCAGGAGCGCAGCTGCCTTCTGCTGGGCCACAGTCTGTGCAGTGCTGTTGTCCGTACAGCTCCACCCACGCCAGCCTGTGGGCCGACGCGACATCGAAGGGGCTGAGGCTGGGAAACCCAGGCCAGCCTCGGTGGGGGCACTTCTGAACCTCAGGGCTCACTACTCACCCAGGGCCCTGCAGAGAAGCCCCTTCCTCACCAGAGGCGCTGGGATGGTCTGGGACAGGTGTGGGCAGGTGTGGGGCTCATGTGGGTAGGTATAGGCTGGTGTGGGACAGGCATGGGTAGATGTAGGCAGGTGTGGACAGGTGAGGGTAGGTGTAGACTGGTGTGGGCAAGTGTAGACAGGTATGGGGCAGGTGTGGGCAGGTGTAGGCAGATGTGGGATAGGTGCGGTTAGATGTAGGCAGGTGTGGAGCATGTGTGGGCTGGTGAGGACAGGTGAGGGTAGGTGTGGGCAGGTGTAGACAGGTATGAGGCAGGCGTAGGCAAGTGTAGGCAGGTGTGGGACAGATGTAGACAGGTATGGGGCAGGGGTGGGCAGGTGTGAGTAGATGTAGGCAGGTGTGGAGCAGGTGTGGGCTGGTGAGGGCAGGTATAGGCGGGTATGGGGCAGGCGTGGGCAGCTGTGGGCAGGAGTGGGTGGTAGGCCAAGGTCAGGAGGCAGTGCCATCTCTGGGGTGCCTCTCTGGGCTGCGTGGGGAATTGGGAGGCATGGTGAGCGAGGAGAGGCATCTGCCCTTGCTCTGCAGGCACTCTTCAGCCTCGGCAGAGCTGCGATGTGTCCCAGAGGAAGGCACAGGGCTGGGAAGCCAAGGGCAGGAGAGTCCGGAGGCCTCCGGGCCCGGCCCTCACCTGCCTTACAGCTGCAGCCCGCATACAGGTAGCCGTGTCTGCGCAGCAGGAGACACTGGCCGTAAGGTCCACAGTCGTGCAGGCAGGGCACCAAGGACAAGGCGCTTTCCACGAAGACCACAGCCTCCACACACTCCCTGCAAGGAAGGGGCACAGGGAGACTGGCTGCTGAGGCGTGCTGGCCAGCCCCTCGCCAGTGCTCCCGCAGGCTCTTGGACACGTGAACCCAGAACTGAGGCCCCAGGCCCAAGCCCTGGAGGACAGGAACCGTGAGCTCTGCCAAGGCCAAGATGCCCCTTCCCCCTTGCCCTGCCCTGAGTCCCAGTCTGTCTAGGGCTGTGTCCTGGGCCCGTCCCCCTCCCTGTGTCCTGGCTCCCAGGGCTGCCTCGGGAGGGGTGGCTAGGTAGAGAAGGGGAATCCTTCGTAACTTCCCAGGAAGACAACTGACCCTGCGTGCCTTGTGGGAAGTGGGTTGCTCCCAAACTAGGAAGCAGGCAGCCCCGTCCATGGTCCTGAACGCAGTGATCCAGCCACCCGCCCCCAGCCAGCAGCCCTGGGTGCCCACCCCCCGCCCACTGCCCAGCCCGGAAGTTTACTCACTCAGGACTCTCAGGGCACACGAGCTGCAGGGAGAGGTACCAGGTGTCTGTCTCTGGGTAAGGGATGATGAGGTTGGCCTCCCGAGACGAGGCGCTCAGAAACAGGGGGTAGCCCTGGAAGAAGGCTGCGGGGGAGAGGAAGGCCTGTTAGGCGTGGCCAGAGCAGCTGGCTGGGGTCACTTGGCCAGACGCTGCCTGCCCATACCTGTGGTGCAGTTAAGTGAAGTGTTGAAGCTGAGGAAGGGCGAGGCAGCATTCACACAGGCCACTACCCAGGAGTTCTTGGTAATCAAACTCTGGAAGGAGAGGCCATGTGGCATCAGTCCCAGCCCAGCGCAGCTGCCCAGAGACGCAGGACCAGCGTCTGCCCTACATTCCCACTTAGTGTGGTACTCGGTGCCATTCTCTGTGGCTCCCACTGGCCCAGGACCTGCCTGGGAGCCTTCCCCTCCAGGTCTGGGGACATCCAGCCTCTGATCTCCCCAAAGCCCCACTTCCTCAGCTACAGCCCTGGGCCTGTGGGCAGGGATCTGCTGCCCCAGAGAACAGGCCTTGCATTCTGCAAATGGAAGCCCTGTTCTGACCCAATGCCTGCTGGGGTCACTTTGCCGCCTGAAAGGCCACCTAGACCCAGCCTCTGTGCCAAAGTCAGAGCGGGAAGGCCTGAGCAACGTCACTCAGCCCAGGCTGATCTGAGCCTCGAGCCCCAAGCCAAGCTGAGCCGGGCCACAAGGTACTTGCAGACAAAGTACCTGGTTGGCCCACAGGGAGATGGTGAGGGAGCCCCCACTGTCCATGCCTGTGTTGAGGTACAGCTGCATGACCGAGGGTGTGTCCGACTGCACCAGCACCAAGACCCTGTCCAAGGGCCGGAAGCGCACAGACACCACATCCACGTCTTCGCGTGTGACCGCGTAGCTCATGAGGCAGAAGGGACCATTGCCCAGTCTGCTGTTCCTGCCCTGGTCCTGGTAGCTGGGGCTTGGGGACATCAGACCAGTGGAGATGTTGCAGCTCTGGTTCAGGCTGCTTGGCAAAAGGGGCTGGACATTCATATTCCATACCCTGCAGGCTGTCAGGAGGACAAGGGGCTCAGCTGGAGGAAGGCCTGGGGGTCAAGGGCAGGGAGCAGAGCTACCCCCACCCTGCCCTCCCCATGCAGCCCACCTGTGAGGGCAGCTACAGCGCTGAAAGCCACTGACACATGGGGCCCCGCCAGGCTCTTGGCCGTCACTTGCAACCATCGGTCCCACGGTGGTGAAGGCAGCAGCAGGCGGCAGGCCTGGGTGGGGCCAGTGCAGGTGAGCACCTTCTGGAAGTTGCTGGGCAGGGTAGCCGAGCCCACTGTGAGGCGCACGGGGCACCCTAAGCTCCCGTTGGACACACAGCCCTGCAGCTCCAGCCGAAGCTCCTGGGTGTACTTGGGGACAAAGATCCTGCAGGCAAAGGGGTCTCACTTAGGCTCCACCAACCCCCATCATTGACACTCAGGGTGGTGGCCAAAGGGGGCTGGGCCCCACTTCCCAGTGCCATCCTGAGACCCAGGCCCCAGCTTTCTCACCCGCACGATTCGGACAGCCGTACCACCCATTCCACCAAACCCAGAGGCTGGGCCTCCCCCAAGGCCCCACTCACTTGAGGTAGCTGGGGTGGGAGAGGAGGTTCTGTGGAAGGGGCACGTCGGGCTCCAGGACAGAGACTTCGACCACCCGCACAACCAGCATGTCAGGCTGGAAGACGTAGGCACAGGTGGGAACAAAGTCCTGGGGGAGAAGAGAAAGCCAGCATGGGGGGATTATGACTAGAGTCAGGCCTGTGGGGGGCAGGACCAGGGAGCCCGGGCGGGGGGGACAGGGCTGGAGCAGGGAGCCCGGGCATGGGGGGAGAGGGCTGGAGCAGAGCTGGGCAGCAGAGCCTAGGGCAGTTCTGCCCTGAGAAGGTGAACTCGTGGCCCCCCATCCTTGGAGACAGCCCTCCTCACCTTCACCTCAATCTTCTGGGATGAGGGAGGCAGGTGGGCAACCACAAACCAGTCCCCTGGTGCTGGGTGGGAGATGTTGACGGAGGCGTTGCTCTGTAGCATCTTGATGAAGAAGGAGGGCTGCACGGAGGTGTTGGCGGGGAAGCTGGTGCCCAGTGGGTTGATGACAGGAGGGGCACCATAACGGAAGTACCTGGAGGTGGGATGAGCAGGGCAGGTCAGATGTGGTCAGATGTGGGCCTTGGGCTGGGCTCTGGCGGTGGGCGGGCACCTACACAGTGATCTCCACATTGGTGCAGGTGGGGCTGCTGCCCCAGGACACTTGGAGCAGCCAGCGCAGCAGCACGGCATCTGGGGGCACCCGGAAATGGAAGAGTCTGGCGCTGCCATACCAGCTGTAGAAAGACAGCTTCTGTGGGGACTGCGAGAACTGCTCGGACACCAGCCTAACGTCTGTGGGGAGAAGGTATCGTCAGCCAGGCCAGGGACGCCCGAGGCAGCCACCTCCACATGGGGGACAGACAGAGAAATCAGGAGGCCCTTCTGCCCTGCCATGGCCCCAGAAAGGACGAGGGAAGCCATGGTGGGCAGGTCTGGAGTCCCTGGGATGCCCAGCATGCCCACTTTGACCTTGGCAAAGGTCACTGTCCCTCTCTAGCCCCTGGCAGTTGTTTGTGGCAAATGGTTCCACTTGACAGGCGAGGGGGCAGGTCTGGAGTCTGGCTGCCTGCTCAGGCCCGTGATGGCCTGGGACACAGCCCCCACCTGAGCCTGAGACCCCCTCACCCGGAGAGGTGGCAAGCAGAGAACTTGGGGGCATGGGACCTCAGGCTGGAAGCCTGGCCAGCCATGAGGACAAGGAGACAGCTAGTCCCCATACTCCAGTGAGCACATGACCATGCAAGGTGGCACAAGGATGAGGTAGGGGCCCACGGCAGACAAACGGTCCATGGCCCCAACCTGGGGCCCCCGCAGGCCCCAGTCCTTGGAGCAGCTCTCAGGCCCCCGCATCATGGCTCCCCAGCTCCCTGCCCCACACACTCCAAAAGTTTGCCCTTGCTGCTCATCCCCTGTCACACCGGCCTTTCCTGGACCAGCTCCGAGGGTCTAGGACTCAGCTGAGGCCTGAGGCCCCACCCTGGATTAGGCCCCTCCTGGGAGTATGCACTGACCGGGGCACCCCCCCCACTGGAGCGTGTGTCCAGGTCCTACTGTGTAATCACCTACCCCATGAGTGGGTGGGTGAGGGTGCCCACCCAGGACCTCCCTCTTGGGGTCCCCACAGGACAGGCACATCCTGGGTGCTCTCTGTGCCCCCAGGGGTGGCCAGCCAGGCCTAGGGTCTGGCCACAAGGTGCCTGGGCTGGATGGCAGGGAGCCCCACCCCAGAGCCAGCTCAGGCCTCCTGCCCCGTGTGACCTTGGGTGTCCCTTCCCCTCTCTGGGTCCCAGCTTCTTCAAAAGTTGGCTGAGGTGGACAGCACCTCCCTTCCGATGCCCCTCCCTCCAAGGTTAGTGGAGGTTAAAGTGCTCCAGGAAGAACTCGCTGTGGACACAGCAGGGCGAGGCCTTACTCCTTCTAGCTGGGTGCCTCCCTCTGCCCACTGGCTCCCACCACCCTGGCAGCAGGCCCAGGGCCCCTCCAGGTGAGCCGGTGAGCAGGTAAGGGAGCTGCATGAGCTGGCTCCCCTGCCGGCCTCCTGACCTTCCCATGGAGGAACCTTGAAAAAAAATAACAACCCAATTGCAAAGCCAGGCTGAGCAGGCATGGGGGCAGGGGGGTGGCTTCCACGTGGGACGCATTCCAGGCTTTCCAGGTGTCAACTGGCCACGGGGTCCACGACCAGGCCAGTGCCACAGCCTGAGTGCTAGAAGCCTAGAAGCCACTGAATTACACAAACTTTCCCCTGAGGCTGCTGCAGCCCCTGGACAATGTGATGGCAAGGGCCCAAAACCCTAAAGGAGCTGGGAGCTGAGGCAGGACAGCCCCTACCACCTCAGGACCACGGGGCCTCCGAGAAACAGCCAGCCATCCGGGCACCCAGCCTCTGGATGGGGCTGGGCACGGGAGGTCACGCTGCAGTGTGCGTCCCAGCCAGCCCTGGAGAACCAGCCTGAGGACACCTGGCACCCAGCTCAGCTGTGAAGTTTCAGTAGGTGAACAAGAGATAAGAGAACTGCTCAAGGTCACCCTAAGACCCAGTGGTCCTCCACTCCCAGGGCTACACAGCCCCTCCAGCACCCCCACACCAGCTCTGCAGCCCAATCTTCCTGCCCAAGACGCCCACACTATCTCGGTGAACGTACTCAGCCATTAGCACACCAGTCTGAGCGGGATGGAGGTCACATCTCTGATATCAGGAAGCACCAGCCATGTGCACCTCCACCCTGCCCCCAGCCCCCGCCAAGAACACAGGGTTGGGGGAAGAGAGAGAAAGTCCCAGAGCCTGTCCTGCAAACCCGAGTGAGGGCACCCTGTCCCACACCCTCCAAACCAGGACAGGCAGCCGGTCAGGGACCCTGCCCACCCACAGACCCACACAGCTGCCTGCCCTGCAGCAGGCCTGGGAGGTGGGGGCTGCCCCAGGTTTCCTACCTCCATAAACCCCCCACCAGTGACCCCTCACCCAGCCCTGCTCCCCAGGATGGAGAAAAAGGAGAAAGTAAGGGTGTCGGTATCCAACGGACCAATTTAATCAGGAGCTGATCTCGGGAAACAGCCTTTCATTTCAAGCTGTGCCAAGCTCAGAAACCAGAGGCACAGCCCTCAGAGAAACAGGAGCTCGGAGGAGCAAGATTTCCGAGAAGGGGGGAGGGGCTGGGAGCTGGGAAGTGGAGGAAGCAAACCCCAGGCTTGCGGGATGAGCTGCCCAGGGGGTTATCTGGGCCCTCCCAACCCTGCCAGCCTGGCCACATGGCCCCCAGGAAGTTCCAGACCACAGGAGTCAGGATGCTACTAAGTACCTGAGGTGTCCCAGCCCCGGGCAGAACCCCAAGGGGCAGCCCCTCCTGGTCTAGCCACCTCCTTAGGCCACGGTCCTGGGTGGGGACTCTCAGGGAGCAGAAACGCGAAGGGAGGGCAGGAAGTTCTGGACACCACAGAAGTTCGCGTTGCCTCAGAACTACCCTGGCCTCCAGACTCCTCAGGGCCACTTGGGAGTCCAGCCTCCAAGAAGCAAGGCCAGCTGCTGAAAGTGACTGCACCAGGGTTGGTGGTCACTGCAGGAGGGGTGGACACATGACCCCTACCTGGGCGCCGGCACCAGGATATAAGCAACTTTCTCCCAACTCCCTCTCCCAGACCAGGTGGGAGCCCTGGAATCCCACTGCCCTACTCTTCTTCCCAGGGAGCCTTGAAGCCCCAGTCCCAGATGAGTCCTCCTCGGCCCCCTCCTCTCCACGTCTCGGCGCGCGACGGTCTTGCCCGACCTGAGCGCCTTGGGAGGAGGAGGATGGAAGGGGGGGCACGCGCCAAGGGGCCGGTCTGGCCGAACCAGGTCCTGGGGACAGAGGAGGGGTCGCGGGTATCCTTTCTCCTCCGACCTTTCGGATCCCAGGCGACCCGCAAGGGGCTGCCCTGCGCCCCCAGCTGAGGGTGGAGACCTGGGCCCTGGGCCTTGCGCCCGCGCCAAGTGAGCGCACAGGTGCCCCCAGGTGAGTCACAATCCCGGCCCCGCCCCCCAGCCGCTCCCCGCTCTGCCCCACAGCCCGCGCCCCCGGGATGGCGCCCGCGGGTCCGCGCTCACTCACCGCCCTTCTGGCTGTCGCCGGCGGCGCCAGGCGGGGGCCGAGCGAGCAGCAGCAGCAGCAGCAGCGGCCCCGCCACTGCCACCGCCACTGCCGCGCCCCCGGTCCCGGTCCCAGCCCGGCCCATGGCTCCGCGCTCGGCCCGGCGCTACCCGGACCGCGTCCCCGGCTGCCCGCCCCCGCCGCCGCCCGGGCAGCCCCCGCCGCCACTGCGGCCCCCGCCGCCGCCGCCTCTGCCTGGGGCTCCCATCGTCCCGGCCGGTCCCAGCTGCCGGCGCCCCGGGCACTTCCGCCTGCGAGGCCCCGCCCCGCCGCGAGCCGGGCGGGAGAAGGGCGCAGGGCGCGGGGACCGCCGAGCGAGGGGCACGGGGGCGCGCGGGGACCGGGGTCAGAAGGAGGACGCGGGGCGGGCGACGGGGCGGCGCGGACGAGGATGACGTGGGGACTGAGGGGGTGAGCGAGGAAAATGGGTCTCAGCGAGGTTGCGGACCGAGGGGGAACGCCGACCGGGGACCGCGAGCGCAGGTCGGGGGATGCAGGACGGGATAAGATGGAAGGTTATGTGGTACACGCTGGGGAAGTGTGACCCAGGGGCAATGAGGGGCGGAGCGGTGGCGCGGGACCGAGTGGGGCGCGCAGGGGACGTGGGACCGGGGGCAGTGGGAGGCGGAGGGGCGGCGTGGGACCGAGTGGGGCGCGCGGGGGACGTGGGATCGGGGGCAGTGGGGGGAGGAGCGGCGGCACGGGACCGAGTGGCGCGCGCGGGGAACGTGGAACCAAGGGGGAATGGGGGGCGCCAACTGGAACACGCAGGAGATCGGAGGCGGCGGGGGACGCGCAAAGCGCCCTAAATGCTTCCTGGAGGCACTGAGAGGGTCCACGGGACTCGAGTGTCTGCGTGATCAGTGCATCGTGGGCCAGGCGCCGCGGGACGAGCCTCGTCCCTGCCGCCCCGCGAGTCCTGCGCCAGTTCCTGCCTCCGCCGTAGGCCCGGTTGTGCGCCTGACACAGCCGGACTCTCCTGGCCGGGCCTCCCGCTCCATCACACCACAAAGCCGCCACGAGCGTGTGTACAAACACACTTTTCTGGGAAGATGAAACGCTGCCTCGTACACATGGGCTTTTCGTGCACTATAAGGGGGCGATTCACGTCGGTGCGCGGGACTGACTCCGCCCTCTACACCGGGGTAGGCCAAACAGATTGAGGATTTCAGCGTAAAAAGGTCACGGTAAAGGAACTAGAAGAAAATTGAGGGGGGCGGGGTTCTTGGGGTCAGAGTCTTGGGGAAGCGAAGGCTTTTCTAAATGAGACTCAAAGCCCAGAAGATTTTAGAGGCAAGACTGAGAGATTCATTTAGGTGAAAATCAACACTTTCTGCAGAGCAAACTTGGGAAGCAAAGTCACACAGAAGTGAACTGGGAGGATGTGCCTGGAACTCGTACCACAAAGGGCCAGTCTCAATAAGATCAATAATAAGGAGTTTAGTAATAAAGAGGTTTTACAAATCAATAAGAAAAGACCCACTCACCAATAGGTCCGAGCAGATTCCTGGAACGGATATGCAAAGGAAAAGGAAAAGGTTCCCACACCCTTCCCTAGAGAAATGCGAACTGAAAAGTACAGAGATGACTTCTCTTTCACCTGACACATCTGCAAGGATCAAAAAGTTTGATTGCACTGAAAGGGTGAGATGTGGGCCAACAGACATGTTTCGATTTAGTGAGCAGTGAGCAGGCCGAACCTGCTGGAAGCCTCTGGACTCGGCAAGCACACAGCTGCAACCCCGTCTCTCCGGCGCTGTGTTTTTCCCTGCATCGACGGGCACAGACGTGTGAGACTGCGTTTCAGTGCAGCCCACACCCAGATGGTGGTCGTCAGAGGATGGGCATTCGGGTCCCGGATACCCACACTGAGATGCACACACGGGGCCACGGTGCAGCTGTAAGAGGGAAACCAGGGGCTCGGTGTACTGACTGGGAACGGTCCACCAGATGTGGCTTTAGCGGAAAAAGGGAAGGGCAGAACACTGTGTTTGGAAAGCTACCATTTTTGTAGGAAATTTTAAAAAATCATTTTGTTTGCAAGTATCAAAGGCATGGAATGACTGGCAAGGTCCAGCGGCAGCAGGCTGCCCTGACCCTGGGGGAGGGAATCAGGTGACTGAGGATCAGGGGCGGGGGCTACACCTGTTTGCACCTTTTGAACTTTGTACGACCAGGGTGGGGTTGGGGAGGGAGGAGAAGCTGGCCCAGCAGCCCAAGGCCACTGAGGGCTAGGGAAGCGGGGGCGGGGGCCTGGGGAGGAAGGAGGCCCAGCCCGGGCAGCCAGAACAGAGACCCTTTGTCCTCTGGAATCTAGGCAGCAGGGGGCTCCCGCGGGTCTCAATTTAAAGGGACAGGGGTTAAGCCGGATTTTGCTGAGCTGCAGTTTCAGTGCACGGCGCTGACCCAGATTGTGCCGGGACAGCAGTTGTGGTCAGCACGGGGGACTGTTCCACCCAAGACCCACCCCCTGCCCCAGGCTGGGCTCAGAGGTCCCCCACCAGCCCTCCTCACTCCCAGGGCCTCTCCTGAGTGTGAGGTTCCTGTGCCCCAAGTTCCCACCAGGTAGGAGGGGGGGCAGCAGGCAACCCCCACCCCACACACACAGGGCTCCATCTGGGGCTGGTGAACCTGTTGATGGACAGGGAGCCCTGGAATGGGGTCCAGCGACCTCTGCTCAGTAACAGAGGCTTAGCAATGGAAAGAACTCCTGAGCCACCTTGCATGCCTTGTTTTGAAGAGCAGACACTGAGGCCCAGAGACGGAGGGCCCCGTCTAGAGGCTCTTGCACACACAGTTCTGTATTCCACCTCACACGGTGCAGAAAACTGAATTCCAACCTGATCAGATGGCCAAATGTCAGGAATAAAATGTAAAAGTATTAAAAGGAGGGGCTGATCTGATGGTGCAGCGGTTAAGTGCTCACGTTCCACTTCTGCAGCCCGGGATTCGCCGGTTCAGAACTCAGGCACAGACCTATGCACCGCTTGTCAAGCCATGCAGTGGCAGGTGTCCCACATATAAAGTAGAGGAAGATGGCCACGGATATTAGCTCAGGGCCAGTCTTCCTCAGCAAATAGAGAAGGATTGGCGGCAGATGTCACCTCAGGGCTAATCTTCCTCAAAAAAATATATTAAAAGGAAACTTAGGGCATATCCCTTAGAATACAGGGATGGGAAGGAATTTAAGGGACAGGAAACTGGAGAACCACGAAGCAAAAGTTACTTATCTGACTACATTTTTAAAGTGTTACGTAAGTGTAAAAAGTGTGAGAGTCAAAAGCAGGACAAAAGCCATCGATAAAGTCAAAAGACAAATGGGAGACAATACGTGCTATGCATATGATAAAGGATTCATATACCTAAGATAGAAAGGAAATTTACACACTGAAAAAAAGCCCCAAAGAAAAATAGACACAGGGTATGTACAGGCAATTTACAGAAGATGAGAAAAGATGCAAATGGCCTGTCATGTGTGAGACGCTGCTCGGGCTCACTAGTGGTCAAATTGTCTTAATACAAATTTAAAAAGACCACTCGTCGAAGGCAGCGCGGGTGGCCCTCTCAGGACGCGGGGAACAGGCACCTCGCGCTTTGCTGGCAGGAATGTGAACTGCCTCACCTTTCGAAGGTTGCTCTGGCAACATTGAAATGTAATGGAAAACACAGTCCCCAAGGACAGATACACACGGGTGTGGACTGCACAAGCTTTTTGTAGTTGCTGAAACTTGAGGGGAGTGGGTGAACAAATGAGGATACAGACATGCTACGAATTTTTACACAACTTCTGCACAGGTCTGTGGGCCTTCTGGAGGAATACCCATCAAGTAGAAAAACCCAGTTGTTAGATAACGTGGATGCATCCGTTTCTGGGCTGGACCACCCTCAGGCCCTCTCACCAGCTCCGTCTCTCGAGAGCATGGGCTGACTGCACCGCTGTCCACCCACCCCGAGGGGAGACCGTGAGAGGGACAGGGGAGATGGATTCCCACAGACAGTCTGTGTCTGGCCACAAGGAGCCTTATCATGTTTGCTTTGGATGAAAATCTCAAAGGTTAACAAAAGCAAGAAACTAGAATTCAATTGTATCCAAATAATGGGGGGCAGAGCTACAGCACTTGGGGTTTGGGGACACCTCCAAGGCCTCTGGACAGCTCCCCGAGTGGAGACAGAAGAAAAGTGCTGTCCGCTGCCCTCCCCCACACCTGCTGCGTGGCTTGCCCGGCCTCCCTCCCTCCCTTCCTGGTGTCGCAGGCAAGTGGTGCCACCGCCCTGGATCCAGCCAACAACAGCCAGCGCAACAGCCAGCCGCCAGCCTTGTGTCACGCAGCTTCCCTTCCAGCAGAAGGCGGTGCTCAGTCCTGCACACAGCGGCGGGGCTGTTCAGGGCCCTCAGACACCCTGGCTGCTTTCTCCTCCTGCCTGTTCTTGTAACCCACCCTGGGCTCCTCCTCCAAGTGCAAGGCCCTGTGAGGCCCCTGGGTGGGAATGAGCTCCCCCCGCCCCGGCCTGCCCTCTCATGGCTTCCTGCCATATAGAGAGGGGCATCCTGTCACCCCGCCCACTGCAGCTTTCCTGAAAGAAGGAGTGGGAGTGGGCCGCACCCTACGTGGTCCTGCCAGGGCCAGGGGGGCGGACAGTCACTCTTCCTCTTTGCCCTGGTGCCCCAGCTTTTCAGCATAAACTAGACCAAGGTGCCTGGGCATCTGGGTTTCACAAGATTAGTTTCCTCAAAGGTTTTGGGAAGAACAGGGTTTATGAATATTTTACCCAAAACAAAGTTTTTCTTAAGTCCCTACCATCTATCTGTATCATTTCATAAAGGGAGTGTCATTTTCCAACCAAAAAAGTAGGAAGTACATGCTCTTAGAATTATGCTTGAATAAAGGTTAGGTTTATTTATTTTTTAAAGTCCAGCATGTGGTTCTTATTTATCCTCATTTTATCTGGGCAAATGAATACTTCCTGGCCTGGGTGTTGGGCACTCATGAACTAGAAGGTGAAGGGCACAGGTGGGCCCTCGGGGCTCTTGGCCTACAGTGAGGCTGGGACGAGGTCCAGCTGCATTGGAGCGTGGTGACCAGACCAAATTCCTGGTCCCCTTCCAAGGTAGGGACAGAGAGTGACAAGGGCAGAAGACGGTTGCCAGGGCAGGATGCCCTGAGAGTTGTGCTCCAGTTTGAGGG